CTGTGTGGGGTCAGTATTAGCAAAAATAACAATCTGATTTTTCAAGACCACAACAATATTTTTTTATACAAACAAACAACATCTTTTTTTAGTCATATCAAAACTTCCGAACACTTTTATTTTCTAGCAACAATGTCACAGATTTTTTGATTTTATTTTCAGTCAAAAATACCGCAAGTGATCCTGCTGCAGGTTGTGCTGTGCTGCCCACACATGTATATTTTGTCGGTTGAAATATTAATTGTAATATCACACTTTGTCAAATATTGTCACTTCAATTTTTTTTTATTATTTCCAAATTTTTTGTTTATTAAATTATCATTCATGATATTTTCATATAATGCTTTTTATTAATTTGTGAATTTGTTTTCCATACTCGTTCAGGATTATTTTCGGCAAAGCTTTGAATACAACCTCTTAGTTTTTGTTATGAATAATAGCAATTGCTTGAATATACTATTTCTTATTTTTTTTATCACTGAATATGCTTCATTCGATATCATTATACTTATGCTATTCATGATATCTGTATTATTATATTCAAAAAGCTTTCAAATATTATTGCCCAAGAGCCGTTTTATCTTTGCAATATCATTGAGCATCTTCCAATACTCAAACCTCATCTTCCAATGCTCAAACCTACTTCTCTGCCATATTCATATGGGTTGATATTATTTATTTTTTTTTGAAATATTTGGGAAATTTATTTAGATTGAAGCTGCCTTCATTATCATTATATAATCATTGAAGATATCTATAACTTTAAAGTAATTTGAAACTTATATGACAATCACGATTTCTATCTTCATTCGTCAATACTTTAATTTGTCATGTTCTGCAAAAAAAATATAACGAATCCGCTGAATTATGTGTAATCCCTTTTCAAGACGACCTTGAATTAATCTTAATGGATGATTATAAGACATCAAAAAGAACCGGAAAAATAAGATAAATATAGAGAATTATGAATTCCTCAACCAAAATAGTAAGATTATTACGTTCAAATAAATAAACTCAGAATCTAAATATTTTCAAAACCACTAGAACTAATACTTAAACAAAAAAAAGGAATAACAAGATTCAAGATTTACAAATAAAACATAAGAAACGAAAAAATAGTTCGCCAAGATCAAGAATAAGTCGGGTTGAAACAATAAGAAACGCTATCATGAGTATAATTAATTAATTATATATATATATATATTCATGCTGAATATCAAATTATTACCAAAATAATCTCACCAGTTTATAGATTCTTACAACTATTCAAATATTACTTCAAATAAAAAAGTAAATAAAAAAATTCTAATGACAACAAACACATCAAAAAGAAAAAATATGGCTAGTATAAAATATAGAGCCGAAATATTAATTACAGACGATTGACCAATAATAGCAAAAGCAAGAGAAATATCATTTATCGCACTAAGCAATAAATTAGAGAATAAGTATACCATTCAATATTTATACCATTCAATACTTATACTTGGTGGAATAAAGAGAACACAAATAAGAAAGCACTTCATAATAAACGAAATACTAAAAATAACGACCATTCTTAGAGAGAATGCATCAAAATAAATTACATATTTTTTGATATAACACATTTAAAAACTCCAAAGTATCAGAATTTTTTTTTATTAGATGGAAACTAGTTTTGGAAGTGCTAAAAGTTTGTGTTTATCTTAAATTTTACCTTATTCCATTTTTTTTACTTTTTCAATCCCAATATTATTAAAATAATTTCCAAACTAATTATTACGAAATCTTGTTTCTATTACCATTTCATCATTTGAAACATCTATTTAAGTGGCCTTGTGCTTCAATTATTCCCGCTACGATCACACCAGGCACAGCTCGACAAATATTTTCTCGAGACGGCGAGAAGAAGGTCCTCGAAGGGAACCGAGTGTTGTTCGAGCTTCGGCTGTTTGTGGCGAAAGCTGGTGTGGACATCCTACAAGATGTGAGCTTTGTCAACATCCTCGCAGTCGTCGACATGAACGTGGTCAGGTTATGTCTTGGCCTGCCTCGTCCCGAACAAGAGAAGAGCAACAAGACAGTGCAAGGCATCGCCCATGATGCCTGCACCTTTTTGGGGTTGGAGAGTCCATGGGCCGCATCTGCCGAGGCAAATGATAATGGCAACTCCTCGAGCCAGAGGGCAGTTCAGCGAATGCGAGAATTGAACCCTGATGGCTCACTTCGCAATGCATAGGATTTGCTCAGTGACCAGGGGATCGTCCTTGGGGATTGCATTAAAAAGAAGGGGGAGAAATTCGAGGCACAAATCACCGGCATGGACGGCTCCAGTGTCACCGTCAAAGACTTGAAATCCGGCGGAGTTTTGAAAGTCCAGGCGAGGGACATGCTATGTGCAGGATGGATTGTTTTCTCTCCGAAAGCGGAACCCGAGTCCATTGCAAGCTTGCAGTCCATGGGGCCCAAGAAGAACAACGACTTCTTGGCTGGCTATGTCATCGGGGAGATCTACCAGGTCATGCACGACCTCGGCTCCACACACGAGTCCCACAAGGTGCTTGGCTGGTTGTCCCTCCAGCTCAAACGACCGGGAGTTTTGGATTGCAAGCTCTAACACCCTTCTCAAGGACACCGCCCCCGAAAAGGGGAAGCACTTCCTCTCGGCCAACTTCTTGGTTGGGTCCTGCGAAGACGAAGAATCCGCCAACATGGTTCAGATCATGTCCGGGACCGCCCAATCCTCGATTCGCATCCCGATGTTCAAGAACAGCAAGGAGATTGGCATCGGCGCTGTTCTAAACTTCCTGAAAGTGAAGCAGGTTGAGGCGGATGAGCATGCTCCGAAAGCTAAGAAGGCGAAAACTTCCAAGAAGTGAGCATTGCCTGCAGGTCATGTTGTGAACATGCCTTTCGGATTGAATCTTCCATTCACACGAGCAACATGAGCGAGCAGGAACCGCCGGAGGCTTCTTCAAAAAGTGGGTGCATGCCGATGCATGCACGTGCGATCGCCAAGAATTTCCTTGTTGCAATTGTGTTGTGCTTGGTGCTTGCTTTTCGGCGCTTACAGGGCTATGTAGCTCGCAAGCAGCCCAACTTGTGCTTCGATTGCAGGATCTTTAGGCTCAGCATTTGTAGCAAGCAACACGATTTGCCTGGCATGAACCTGTCGGTCGAGCAGAAGATGGTTCTGTTCGTCAATGGCAACCATTGCATCCCCGAACAGAAATGTGTCGACGGGGACACTTTCATGCACTTGAAGAAGTGGGACCGGGCCCTTGTGAAAACACTTACAGGCAAATCCTTGGACCTCCGGTCAGGGAGGAACAATGGCACCCTCAACATTGACATGTGGGATGAGATGCTCACGGCGACGAAAGACAAAGCAAATGAACTCTTGCAGGAGGCATTCAAGGTGGAAGACTACAATAATAAGCCAATCGAGAGGAAGAAATCCAAGAAGCTAGAAGTGGTCAAAGCCCTGTCAAAACATGCATTGGTGCTGCCTCAGAAATTCACCATTTCGGTCCAGGGGCACGAATTCCAGGTGCTCTTCGATGGGATCGGAACAAAATCCGTATGGATCGAAATGACTGAGGAGAACTTGACATGGCTCAAGAGTGCAGTCGACAGGAGTGAGCAGACACCTCGCAAGAAAAGGCGAACCCGCAAAATCGCGAACGATGAGCAACAGCCGAAGTCCGATAATGAGAAGAATGAAAGCAGCAGTTCCGAGAACAAGTGAGAGTCGTCTGGGTTTAGCATGTTCGGTGCTTGTCGTTTGCATTCGATGCCCATGATGCAGACAAATAGAAGTGAGAGATTGTCCATTTCTTTTCAACATGCAGGCATTCGTGAAGTCCCTCAGCATGCAAGATGCAAACATGTGCACGTGTTCGAGGCATGGGCTTTTAGCCTGCAGGTAGTTTTGCTTCGGGTCCCGAGCCTCCAAAGGCTGGCTGTCTTCAATCCTGTGCATTGAAAAAGTATACATGAACCATGCAGACAGTCTTTGTTTTGTGTTTCGGTAGGCCGGAACAGCCGAAAGCATCGCTGGATCACGGAATCTGGCACGAAGCTCCGATGGCTGGGCGAAGGCAGTGACTGGGCTGGCTGGCACATCGACACGAGAGATGGCCAGCTCAACATGTGGATCAATCCGGACTACCAGAGCCTGGAACCGCAGGTGAAGAACTGGCAATTTTGGCACCAAGGGAAGTACCGGAACAGTGTGCTGTTACTTCAGTCGGTGGTCGATGGCCAGGTGGTGCCACTCCACAAGGCTGTGCTGGGACTTTGTATTTTAAGCTTGCTTCCTCAAACTCTTAATTCCGCAAGACTACCGGTACGAGAAGCACGTGCCTCGGGAAGACGGCCCAGTGGAGGCAGTGCCTTTGCCGGGTTTGCTTTGGGCATACATAGTATAGTTTCCCATGAATGCAGGAAGCTGCTTTATAGTTTGCTGCATTCCGGTGCACGGTGGCTTGCCTGCGAGCACATCGGCCCTGCATGCAGCCATCGTACACACACATTTGCAGGATCCCGAGACGATGGGCGAGCCGCCGGTGGAGGAAGCTGCCATGGAAGGGCAGGAGGAGTGTCCAGACAGGTTTCTTGATTCTATAGATTATAGATTAAGGAATACATAGAAAAGCATGAAAGAATAGACTGAGATATATAGAAAGATTATTTTTTATACAGATTAGATTCTATGCTGGGTTGAAAGCAGAACCCCATGAAACTTTAACCTATATACTCCTGTAAGCTAAACCCACTTTCTTTAGCATTCATCAGGACCTGATCGCCCTCAAAAACAACACGTTTACGGCTTTTGCGGTGCAGGCACGCTGGCAACTCTCCGATCTAAGCATGCGGTGCATCTATCTCTATCATAAGACTTCATGACGCATCGGGCAGCGCATGCACCCTGCACTCGCAGTAGCATATCGGTAACTTCGGGCAAGCCGACGCATGCAGCAACATGGTGACAACGACCCCAAGCTCCGAAGTCAAGGGCCCAAAAGCAGACGCCTACCATATTCTCTGTTTGAACATCTTGAAACAGCAATACAATCTGCCAGCCCTCCCTTCACTTGGGCACCCAGCCAACACTGCGGCGAGGTAGGATCCTGCCTTCGAACATGTCGGTTCCTCGCGTCTTTCACAGAAACTCCGGCACAACCATACATGCACATATATCATGTACGTATACATATGGGTGGTTGTCAAAAT